CCCCCCGCACCCCCCGCCCCGGGACCCACCGCCGCCCGGGGGCTACCGGCGGGGACACCGGTACTGCCACGGGAATCCCCTCTCCGCCCCTGGGGAACGGCGGCGGGATGCCGGTGGCGAGAGGGCCGGGGCATCCCCTGCGGTAGCCGCGGAAGCCCCGCGGGGTGGGGGCAGGGGATCCCCCGGTGGCGGCTCCCGGTCGCAGCCTTGCGATGCCCGGTGGGGTGGTGCCGCAGGCTCCCACCGTCCGTGACCCTGCACTGGCCCTGGAGGCACCCTGGGGGTGCTGCCACCCGTTCCCCCAATGTCATCCCCAGCCTCCTCAGGGGGTGACAACTGGGTGCTTCCCGAGTGATGAGCAGCACAGGGACACCGGCAGGGAGGGCAGCCTAGCCCCTGGCAGGACCTTAAGATCCCCTGTCATAGCCCACATGGCTATTGCAGTGGGAGACGTGGCTCTGCAGGGCAAGGGTGCCAGTCTGGCCCCCGGTACCGCCAGGGACCGAAACGGCACTGGGTGTCCTGGGGTCACCCTGCTCCCTTGGGTGCCATACCCCAAAACCGACCCCTCGCCAGCCTGGCCTGGGCAGTTGTCCCTGAGCTAGGGCTCCCCCAGCCATTTGCCATCAGGGGGTTGTCACCAGCTCTTCTCTGCTGTAACTGAGGCCGGTGGCACCCGTGGGGGACCCCTCTGGCTCCTTGGGACTGCGCCAAGCTTGCGGTCAAGAGTCCCCTCTGTCCCTTCGCTGTGCCCTGGGGCTGTGCCAGGAGCGGGGCAGAGTGGTTYCGGGGCGGAGCCGTGCCAGATGCGGGTGGGTGCCGGGGTGTGGGTGCCCCACGCAGGCCACGACCCCGCCGCCGTTTCCTCCCCGTGGGCAGGGTGGCAGGCGCCCGCTGCGGCGGCACACACGGCGCATTGTTCCGCCGGGGCCCGGCCGGAAGGACTTCCTCCATCCCGGCCAGGGGATGACCTGGGCAATCCGGGCTCTGGCAGCCCGCTCCCACCACAGCCGGGCACAGCGGCGCCGGTGTCCGGCCCAGCCCCACCACCTCGCTCGCAGCAGGGCCGCAGTGCCCGTGTGTCCCCCGGCCGCCTTGGCTCCGGCTCCGACTCACCTTGCTGGAACTCGCCTCCTGAGATCCGACCTCACAGCGCGGCCACGGCAGCCGGGCACTGCCGGCTCGGTGCTTGTGGGGATGCCCCAGCAGCACCCAGGGCGGGCAGGGGGCTGCGGCCATGCGGGGGGGCCGGGCTGCTCCCTTGAGGCATGGGGACCGCAGGGAYGGGGGGCACGGTGGGGCCCACGGGCATCGTCAAGCCAGGGCAAGGGCGGGCGAAGGGAGCCAGGCCTCCGGCCCCACCAGTGCCGGGGGCCGGGAGCTGCCTTCCCCTTCCCCTTCTCCCCACGGCGGCGGGGGGAGGCAGGCGGGGGAGCGCTCCCCGAGCCACATGGTGGGCTGGAGGAGGAGCCGTTGCCCAGGCAACAGCTGAGAGCATCCTTCACCCCTGAAAATGCTGTGCGGAGCTGCTGCCACAGCCCTACAGTGCAGGACACTGCTCAGGACCCCCAGAGCCCACCCGTGCCCGTGGGATCCAGATCCACCTGCTTCAGCCCTGGACATACACCAGCACCCCCTTACCAGCACGCTGCTACCCCCCAGCAAGGACAGGGATGGGGACGAGACACCCTCCAAATGCTGGGGCACTGCTGGGCAGGTGGGAGCAGGCAGAGCCACTTCCCGGCCCTGCTCAGGGCTGGCCATGGCTCCGTTCACCCCCCGGCCCTGCCCCAGAGCCACCCTGAACGTGTGGCAGACACACAAACACGCTGCTGACCCCAGGACCTTGGTGCCAGGCTGCCATGACCCAGGCAGTGCCAGGAGGGCGGCACAAGCGTTCTGACTGGTGCGTTTGGAACAGCAATCCCCATCCCCCCGCCCGCCTGCCTTCCTTCCACGGCTGCAGAAAATTCCTGGATTTTACCCCAAGATGCCCCCTCTGAGTGTGAGAACTCCTCCTCGGCCCGCTCCCATAGCAACTGTTCCCTAGCTACCCGGCCGCACTTGCTATTCTCATCCCAGTGCAGCTGCGTGCGGCCCCCCCGCGCTCTGCACGAGGCTGTGGCCGCTGCTGCCAGCCCCGGACCCCAAATCCACCCTGCACCCCACGACTGGGCTCCTCTGCCCCCCTTTGCTCACTCCACCCTTGGTGACCATCGTGACCCTCACCCCACGTCACCCCACAGGGTCTCCCTTGGAAGGGGCTGTTCCTTGGGCTAAGGACGTTGTGCTGCCACCACATTCCCATTCATGGTGGCCTTGCTGAAGCAATAATTCACCGTGGCCAGAGGGCAGCAGGACTGTCCCGGCCCCACAGCACACCTGTGATAGCCTAGGAGGGGCTGTGCTGGGGATGAAAATGCCCCAGAGGGGACCACAGCAGGCACGAGCATCCCAAGAGAACAAGGTCCCTACTTGTCATGCTCCCACACTGACCCAAAACCTGCAGCAGAAGCCATTGAGGATCATCTCTGGTAGCCAGGGTTCAACCAGCATCAGCCCTTTTGCCCTGGAGGGCAACCCCAGCCCTTCCCTGCAGGGCAGGTGCACCAGCAGACCCCATGGCAGCCCAAAAATGAGGTTCCTGCTCCCCTTCTTACAGCCACCAACCCCGTATGGCCTGGAATGGGCCCCCCATGACACGAGAGCAATACAAGGCACGGCGAATCTTTACACTTAACAAAAGGTTAAAAATTTAAATACTCTCCAACTTTAGTGCAAGGCAAGCAAATGATACCACAGGTCCAAGTAGGTGCTCAGCCCCCCTGGGGGGCCTGGCTCAGAATGAGCAGAGGCAGCAGCACACGCACGCACACGTGTGCACATACACACACACAGAAGGGACGARTTATTGCTCAGGACACAGCTGGGACAAGTGTACACGAGAGGGGACAGGACAAGCTGAACGGAGAGGTGTGCTGATCCTCACACCACGCCCCAGGGAACCCCTGGGGACACACACTAAGCAGGTCACACTTGGGTCACAGCTTCACATGACCCCAGGAAGGGCTGTTCCCTTTACCACAGCTTTGCTCCCTGACAGCMGGGTCCTTTACGTGTCTGCTCCTCCACCACCGAGCAGGGCCTGGGGACGGACACACCTCTGCAATGCACAGGTCCAGAGCTGGTGCAACTGCGCTGGCACCATCCTGCAGTGTGCCAGGGATCACACCGACCCTTTGGCCACGGCAGCAGTGCCCGGGAGTGGCTGTGTCCCGCCGTGCCAGCGGTCTGGAGAGGGGCTCGGGATCAGCACATGTGAGACGAGGCAGGAGGCAGCAGGCTCCAGCAGACAGGAGTGAGGACGAGGCAGTGACGCTCTGCTGCCAGGACGCAATGGGTGACGCTTTGGCACAGCGCTTTCCTGTGCCTTGGGGCTGAGCAATGGACTCCGCTGGAGCCAGGACAACTCAGCACGGCCAGAAAGGTCCGGGAAAGATGATTTAGACACCTCAAGGCACAGAAGGGCCTCTGTCCAGGACTCCCTGGAGCAAAGCTTGGGACCGTTGCTCCTCCCATAGGAGGACATTTGTGCCTGTGATAGGGTGGGGGCAGTGCAGGCCCCCACCTATAGATTAAAAACCGACATGTGATATGTACAGACCGACATATATAAATATACATCCAACCTGCGGTGCCGCTTCGGCACCGTGGAATGTGTCAGCAGAGCTGCTCCAGCCTGGCCTCGGCCCACGCCGGCACCATCCCTCCCTCCCACCCTGGGCCCGGGAGGGGAGCGGCAGCCGGCGGCAGCAGCACCATCCCAAGCGGCAGATTTGGAAGCATCCGGGTTTGATCAGGGCTTGCCCGTGGTCAGAGGGGCACCTCAACCCGAGCYGTGTGCTGCTGCCAGCCTTGGAATCGTCCTCACAGTCTTCAAATACAGACGTGTTAAACTGTAAACAAATCCACCTTGTGGGACCACTGCGACCGTGTCCTTCGGGCTGGGCACTTGGGAGAGGCATGGGGGTCCCGSGGGCTGGAGAACAAGCTGTGCTCTACAGCCGGGTGGGCTCTTCCTCGCTGTCGCTGCAGTTTCCACAACAGTCCTGAAGTCAGAAGGGCAAGGAGAGGGAGGAGGGAGGGAGAGAGGAGCACAGCAAGCAGAGGGTGAGCACGGTCACACAACCCAGCCTACAGCTGCCCTCTTGCAGGGCTGSGCCAGAACCCCTCAGC